CCCCAAAGCCCCGACCACCTCTGCCTTCAAACCCCACAAAGAACCACTCCTTAACCCCCTAAAAAACCATCTCTCCTCCAACTCAACCTCCCCTTAAATCCCCAAACACCTTCCAAACAACACCTCCCCTCAAACCTCAACCATCTCCCCTCAAAACCCACAAACTACCTTCCCCAGCCCACCCTGTGATAAATTTGGTTTCATTTCTCACAACCCCTGGTGTGAAAAGTGCGTATTTTATGATTGGCTTTTCACAAATATTAATATTATATATGTTGTGTTAGAAAGTAATGCTGTGCTAATTCTATGAGGTAGTGTGTTAAATCTAATTTTAGGTTATAATAAAATGTTAAAATAGAAGCTATGCTATGTAGGATACTTTTTTTTTAAAGAAAGGACTTGCCCTGAGGTAGCAGCCACAGGACACCTAAATCTTTCAGAGAAAGAGAATTTATTGCTCCATTATCAGGAGAAACGAACTTCTTCCTGCCTTGCTCAGGCTTGAAGGTGCCGTTGAGGATTCAGAGGAAAAAGCTGAGGATGACCAGACAGAATCTTGTGTGGAATTTATGGAATGGAATTTATGCATCATGTATGGGATGTATGAATATGCAACAGGTTATTAAGGGTTAATCCTCTGTTAACGTGTGTCCTTTTCCAGGCTTATGCTGCCCAGAAAAAGATACCTGGACATCCATAACTCTTTGTTTCTATTGTCTCATATTGTCCTAATCCAAGTTGTCCAAATTATTATTACTCTAATTGTATTACTATTTTCATAACCATTTTATTACTATTAAACTTATAAAAAAAATTAAAAACAAGGGATTGGCATTTTTCACACCAGGCAATTACCTCTCCCTAAGCCCCCCAAACCACCATCTCCCCACAAACCAAACCAAATCCTCTGTAAAACTAACAAACAAAAAAACCCTCAGATCTATATTGTACCAACACACATCTCTCTTTATTTTTCTTTTTTTCCCTCTTTTCCTCCTGCTGCAGAGTTCCATGCCAGGGATGGATTTCACAGAAGCCTATTCAGACAGGTGCTCGGCTGTGGGCCTTGCAGCCAGAGAAGGAAACGTTGAGATTCTGAGGGAATTGATAAATCGGGGATACAGCGTCGATGTCCCGGATAACAGGAGGTGGCTGCCCATCCACGAAGCGGCAGCACACAATTCCAGTGAATGCCTGAAGCTCCTCATTGATAAAGGTAAGGAAAACCTAATGGGAAACGCTGTGGTTTTGTGCTAAATTATCCTGTCACAGGAAATACAAGTTCCATAGATTTATCCTATTTTGTTTGGGGATTTTTCTGTGTAGTTTCCCAACTGCGCCAAGTAGAAATTGACATATTGCAGTTCATGGGTGATACTTGAGGTGATAACAGCATATTCATGGATCACATATCTCTAATAACTTTGTTATTTTCTTAAAATTATTGTATTTTGTAATTCACTGCCAAATATCCCTTTTTCCCCTCATTATGCTCCTCTGCAGCTCCAGCTGATGACTACATCCACTCGAGGACGTTTGAAGGGATGTGTGCTCTGCACCTCTCGGCCCGTCACGGCTCTCTGGAATGTCTCCGGATTCTCCTGGAAGCTGGGGCTGACCTGGACAATGTCACCACCGAATCTGCCACCACCCCACTCTTCCTAGGTGACACAAGCTTTCCTCAAGCCTCAGAGCTTGAACTCACCAGTTAAAACTCAAATTTCTCTGAGTTTAAACTCACCGGATTTTCTTACTTGCCTGCCATGTTACATCTTTTTGTAGCCCTAAATAACCAGGCTTTAGACTCAGAGGTGTGGAAATAACCTTTTGTTTATGGGTAAATCTGCTTCAGACAGTGTTTTAAAACAAATTATAAAAGCAAATTATAAATTATAAAAGCAAATATATTTTCTGCATCAAGCGCAGAAAAACTTTAGGAGGTTCAGGATTACATCTGTATGAGGCTGTTTCAAAGCCTTTTTGATTTTTATAATTACTTCCTAATTCTTATGTAAAAAATAAGAATTATTATTTTATTATTATTATTATTGACATTCCTAGTTTGGCAATTAAGGTCCATTATTTGAGCATTTTTTCCTATGACTTATGTTTGACTTAGTTGAATGCTTCTAAATCATCTGATAAAATACATTTATTAGTTTACTTGCCTCTCTGCCCAGATATCATGTGTGCCATGTTATCTTTGATTCCAAGTCTTTTCCAAGTTTGGGGGAATTTTGGCATCATTTCCATTCCCCAAAACAGTTTTGGGGATCTAAATATAAAAGGCAAGCCAGTATATAATGGACAAGTTTAAAGGAATTATGGTTGTTTCAGGAAGTTGGCAGTGAGACCTTTTGAGCTTTTAAACCCAAATACTTAAATAATTTCTTTTTCAAATTTTTCAATAAGATTTTTTTCTTTTTATTACTGTTCTATGGAAGCTGTTGAAAATAAACATACAGAGGTTGTCAAGTTCCTACTCCAACACGGAGCAAATATTGAAGGGTCTCATTCTTGGTCTGGATGGAATTCTTTGCACCAAGCTTCCTTTCAGGTAACCTGTGAGCACATCATGTAATTTTGGTGTAACTGGTATGTTCTGGGGGATAAATAATTATTTAATAATTATTGGATTTTTGTCATGTAATTTTTCCTAACCTACCCTAGCACGCATAAGCCTGTACTTAAAAATATATTGGCTTAATAGTTCTAACACATACAAATAACTTTATCATGTAAATAAGGAAAAGTGATCAATTTGAACTTGCCTAATTTATTTTACCCTTAATTCTTAAGTGTATCTTTAGGATATTGAATATGTTGTGGGTTTTATTATTTCTATCTGGATCACGTGGGGAAAAACGGGTTGTGTGATTTCCTCCTTTTCCTGCTGGTTGAGAATAAAAACCTTGATTCCAGGGTTCCACAGAGATAATGGAAATGCTGCTGGAGAAAGGGGCCAGGACGGAGTGTCGCGATGACTTTGGAATCACCCCTCTGTTTGTGGCTGCTCAGTATGGGCAGCTGCAGAGTCTGCGCCTGCTGCTGTCCCACGGTAACCACGTCCTCCATTTCCCTGGCCACGCTCCCAGCACCTCCCACTGAGTGCAGCTGGAGCTCTGCTCCTGCACATCATCATCTCAAATGCCAGAGGTTTCATTTCCTTATTGCTGAGTTGGAAGCCACCCTGTGAAGGATAATGACTGATGGAGGTGACTTTGGTTTTGTCTCGTGTCAGGTGCGGATGTCAACTGCCAGGCCAAGGACAGGGCCACTCCCCTGCTGATTGCTGCCCAGGAGGGACACCTGGACTGTGTGAAGCTGCTGCTGGCTGCAGGGGCAGACCCAAACCTCTACTGCAACAGTGACAACTGGCAGCTACCCATCCATGCAGCAGCTGAGATGGGCCATGCAAAGTAGGTGGTTGCAGAGGCATTCAGACAGAAGGTCCCGGTCACACAAATCTGATCCCCAAAGGAGGAAGTTCAGCCCTAAAAGGGAGGAAAATTGGGTGTTCAAACAGTAACTTAGAAGTTCTGATTATTTTTGTATTTTAAATGTCTCTTAGTTTCTTCCACACTGACAGGGAGTAGGTTTAGATGAAATATTAAGGAAAAATGCTTCCCTGTGAGGGTGGTGAGACCCTGGCACAGGTTTGCCAGAGAAGCTGTGGCTGTGGCATCCCTGGAAGTGTTCCAGGCCAGGATGCATGGGGCTTGGAGCAACCTGGGATAGTGGAAGTGTCCAGGTAGGGGGTAGAACTAGATCACCTTGAAGATCCCTTCCAACCCCAACCATTCTATGATTTATGATTTTTAATTCAGCATCTAACCTGGATTTGATCCATAGCCTGATGAATTTAGAGGGTTTTCTACAGTGCTGAACCAGATACCAATTCACTCCATGACCGTTTTACTTTCCATTTAAAAATGCAAATAACCATGTTATACATTATACATGACTTGAACAGCTGCTAATTAGAATTCTATATTAAGTAGCAGCAGTAATTATATGCAAATATTGAATTAGCTGGACCAGCCAGAAAAATCAAAGCCACAAAAACAGTTTCTTTAATCTTTCCAGAGATGCATTTGCAGCTTTGCCCAATTTCAGATATACAAGTCAGCTCCACAGCAGCGAGCCAAGAGTGGAAGGAAGTTTTGGGAGTAGACCATTGGGGAGAAGGATCTCTCAGGAACTCCATGATTCACACATGGACAGCACTTAAGTACATAAATGATGATACATCACTGGCAACTCTTATGCAGCACCAGTAGGTGCCAGCAGCACAGGAACTAGTGTTTGTCACTAATGTGATGTGGCCTGGGGTGTGAGCTGTAAACTGAATGATTTTTCTGTTTCATAGAACTAAGAATTCATTTAATTTGCAACTCAGATTTACAGTTTGCTTCCAAACTTCCTTGGAGTTGGGATTTAGTGTGCAATGGTGTTCTGTTGCTGTAAAATAGTTGCTGGGTAATAGGAAGTAGCTGTCCCTGGTTTGGTTTAAAATACTTCTTTCCAGTCCAAATCCATCCCAAAGCACAACATATGCCAGGGATCTGTGTATGTCAAGAGTGAAAACCACGATTTTCTTCCAAAGCTGCAATGACCCTGTGAAAAAATGGCTGTGTGTTTAAGATTAATCATTGCAATGAGATCAGCAAGCAGTGGTTCTAAACACCTGCAGGATACTGGAGCTGCTGATTCCAGTCACGGACCGGGTGTGTGACAAGGGCGAGGGCAAAGTGAGCCCGGTGTACTCGGCGCTGTACGGCGGGGACAGCGAGTGCCTGGAGATGCTGCTCAGGCAGGGCTTCAGCCCAGATGCTCAGGAGTGCCCAGACTTCGGCTGCAGGTCCCCCATGTGCATGGTCTTCCAAAAGCAGTAAGCAAACCTCTTCTGTTTTGGAGTTATTCGTAATCATATTTGCTTTCATTAACTGATTTTAAACATGTCGTTTCCCACTTTCTTCTCCCAACTGCTGTCTATCATCTAGTATTTTTCCAGAATTCCAGTGTGTTCCCCCTTTGCAGACACTCCTCATTATTCCCATTTCCTTGGGAATATTAATGTGAAGGCCTGAAGTGTGACTTACTTGCTGCTCTAAGGAAAACATCTTCAAAAACGGCTTTTGAATCCTCTCAGATTTTAACAGATTATTTCTTTGTACATGGATTTTATTTATTTATAGTAAATAAATATTTATTATAATATTTATAATAAATAAATATATATTTTAATAGTTATATATAATTATATAAAATATTTATATTGTTTATAATTTATTTATGGCTGCCATTTAAATTAACGAGGTTTGTTACTAATGAATTTAGTTTGTGGCCTGCTCCTAGGAAGCTGCCTTTAAAAATCCTTGGACACCATTTTTCCCTTTCTGTCCTGATGTTGCTTTATAATAAATAATTCAGGAAGGGATGCAGAGCAGGTGATTGCTCTGTGAACAGGGCAGGTAACACATGTCACCACTTCTGTGGGGCAATGTGCCCTCTAATGCCTAAAAGGCAACACCAGTCACAGTCTCAGTCCTTATCCTATTGGGGATGATGATAAAAGGATTTTAATAAAAACATTTTGAACTGTTTCATTGCAGACAGATGTAACAAATGGTGGGTGCTTTCTGAGGCAAAGCTCACGGGATGCCCTGTTCCTTTTCCTGCTCACAGGTATTATCTGTTCGTTGATGTCCTGCTGAAATATGGCATCACCCTGCGTGGCATCAACTTGGCTCACTGCCTGTGCCATAGGGAATTTGCTCTGTTCCGGCGTTTCTTGAGGTCTGGCTGTTCCCTGCCCTCGGAGGAGGAGTTAACAGACTTCATCCTCTACAGCAGCACGGTGCAGAAGGAATACAAGGAATGGCTGCCCTGCCTGCTCCTGGCTGGCTTCAACCCCGTGAATTTCATGTGCAGGTTCTGGTAGAGCAGGGAGCTTGGTCCTTCTTAACTCAAACATCCCATGCTAATGTGCAAAGCTGCTACAGGATGGCCCTTGATAATCTGTTGCCACCATCAGGAACGGGAGTGGTTGTGGAAAGTCTGAAATAAATCATTCACACGTCACGTCTGGAGGCAGTAAAACAATTTTCTTTAGGAAGAAAGCCAGACTGGAAATTGCCTTTCTCTAGAATAGCAATAAAGCATCACTTCCCAAGTTTATATCTAACATCTCTACTTAACCCCCAAATTTAGCTGCAAATTGTGTGAGACTTTAATACAGCCATGGCAAGAAGAAATTTCAGTGGGAGAAATAGGTCAGGAGGGATGGGAAACAAATGGGAAATGAAGCTGGGCCAAGGCTGGGAGGAGAGGAAACGGATGCAGTTTGAGACTGTTTTGTTTAACACAATGTGGCAAAAATTCCAGTCAGATTTTTTATTATTATTATTATTGAAGTTTTTCCACATATAGACAACAGCTTGGTGATATTTTATATTTAATTGGGCACTACAGGATTAACTTAGAGTTATGAAATATTTGTATTTTTTGCAGGCTGTGGTAAACACATTACAAGCTTGCTACTGAGTGACTGAATGAATGTCACTGTCCTTGTGTATTACATCTGATGCTTTTTGGCCTTTTATTCTGTAATCTACAAATACTTTTAAAAGGTATTTAAAAGTAAAGAAGTCTTTGTTACACAGGATTTTCTCCATGAGTGAGGATGTCCTTAATTTTGTCCTGGAGTTCACGAATTGGAGCAGACTTCCTCCAATTGTGGAGCAACACCTTTCCCAATACAAGGAGAAGTTCACTTGGACTTCCAAGAGCCATTTTGGTAAGGAATACAGGCAGGAAAATAATGTCTCCGTGTGTCCAGCTTCCAGGCTGCAGATGGGGACCTTTAGGAGAAGATGACAATAGGACTTAGTTATGTTTTATTTTTCTAATTTGATTTGTGTTTACAATGAAGCATCTGTCCTGTTTTGTAAGCATTGGACAGTAATTAAATACAAACCATAAAAATCAAACATAATCAAAATGTGACCAGCCAAAAAGATTCAATTGGTTGTGCAGGAATTTTTCATAGTTCAGCCTTCAGAAAAGCAGGTCTTGTGTTATGTGACTGAGAAACTGCACTTAGGTGTCTTTGTTAATGATTCCTTTCAAAGGAAATTATTCTTTAAAAGGGTCTTTAATAATGTTTAAGTTGTCCAAGTAATAATGTCATTTAATAATATTTCCTTTAGAATGCTTGATGCTAATGAGGATGTTTTTGGAGTCAAAAAAATGGGAGTTATTTGGGGAAATGCACGTTAAATTCTCTCTTTATTTCCTTTTATATTAGTAAATATATTGGTGTAGTAAGAGCTGCTGTGTGTTTGACTGGGGATTCCATTTTCCAGCCTTCCTTCCTCCCCTGTCCCACCTGTGCCGCCTGGAGATCCGGTCCCTGCTGGGCAGCGAGCGCCTGCGCTCGGAGCGCGTGATCCGGGAGCTGCCGCTGCCCACCTGCCTGCAGGACTACCTGCTCTACCTGGATGTGCTGCGAGCCCACCGCGTCCCAGAGCTGCAGGGCTGCCTGGAGCAGGGCCAGGAGGGAGCTCCTTGCAGTCCCTCCGAGGCAAAGGACACGGAGGAGGGACAGCAGTAACACCAGCGCTCCGTGACGGCGGTGCCGGTGCCTGGACTCCACAGGTTTTGTAATGGGAATCAGGAGACACGGGAGGAGAGCTGCTGTAAATGTCTCTTCTCCTCCCGTGTAATCATTCTTTTCACGCTGTAGTTTTGTACTACATCTAGAAATTTCCTATGGGTTCTATGATTTGCTCGTTTACAATCTGTTGTAGCTTTGTAAGTGAACATTTTCTGTTTCTTTTCTAACTCTTGGGAAGTAAAATGAGCTTTTTCAGTGAACACAGCTTACAGAGGAGTCAAAATCTGCCCATTGACACTTTATTCCAAATACAGCATTTACCAAATGAAACCATCTGAAAGTCAAGGAACACAATCTTGTATTATTGTTATGAACTTGTGTTGGGGAGGGATGGAGCTGAACTGGAGAAAGGCAAATTACAGAAGAAAGGAGGTTGTTTGCTGAAGGAACAGTGATTTTTTTTTTTTCCTCTTCCCATGGTTGTCAATATTTGGCAGAATGTCGGTACTGGAGGCTTGGGGCCTGCACCCAGTCCCTCCCCTCACAAGTCCCTCCCCCAGGCAAGGCAGGAAATGTCCCACAGGCACACCAAGGTGTGCCAGCAAAATCCCTCCTGTGATGAAGTGCAAAAGGACTTGCTGTTCCTGAGGCCTGGTGACAGGGCTGGAGCAGGGACACCTTGGGATGACAGCAAGGTCTCTCACACTGGGAAAGCCCTTGTCCCGTCAATCTGGTGCTGCCAGGATCACTGGTAGTAGATGCTGAAGGCGTGGAGGATGTACAGGAAGGTCGTGAGGAAGGCAAAGAACTGCACGAGAGGAAGAAGAGGAAGGGTCAGCTGGCAGAGTCAAACCCCATCTCTTCCCAGTGCTCTCAGCGTGGGGAAGCCTCCCAGCACAGAGCTCCCTCCAGCCTCAAAGGAGAGGCAAAGCCTCAGCTTTTCCCAGCATCCAGCCACGTCAGGCTGTCCATGAACTGGTGGACCCTAAGAAGACAATGCCAGCTGCATGACCCACAGAGCTGAGGAGCTGAAACTCTGCCCTGTTGGCACTTGGGGTGGCTGTGCTGTGGCTTTAGCAGGTGCTGCTGCCCTTGCAGGGTGAGTGTGTGTCCTGCAGGCCAGCAGGTGCTCTGGACTCACCGATGCAGCGCTGTTGAGTTGGTAGTTGAGGGGCGCGTTGACGCCGAACTCAGAGTTGATGGTGGCATTGGCCTGCAGGACCGCGGCGCTCATGTACAGAATGGCCGTGGTGCCATGGTACAAACTGTCCTGCAAAACAAGGCACCTGTGAGTGTCCCAAAGGGGGACAAGTGCCTCTCTGGAGAGGCCTGGGATTGAACCAAGCAGTGGTTTCACAGCACAGCTCCCCTGGTCTTTCCAGTCAAGGCAAAAGGAAGAAAGGGTGGGTGGGTCACCAGCCATGGTGATCCTGCGCCCGCGTTGCTGCTGCCAACATCTGCCCGTGTTCCATCCCCTCCTTACCAGCACTTTCCAGTTCTCGCTGTTCCTGTGGAAGCCAAGGAGGTAGCTTAAGAGGAGCAGCAGGGAGATGAGGCAGGAGGTGAGGGACACGTACATCACCCATCCCTGCAGCAGCGGCAAGGAGACGGAGGTAGCAGCGACGAGGATCCACACCCAGGTCCCGCAGACCTGCCGGGGACAAACAGGCGCCGCTGATGAGTGTGGGATGAGGAAAAGCTCTTTTCCTCCCCAGTTCCCTCCTGGGCCAGCTGCAGCAGCCAGCGGAACCCCTGCATCTTTCCCAGAGCATCCCAGTGCTAAGGGAAGCAAGGAAGCAAGTTGGCACCGGTTCCCCTGAAAACTCAGGGGAAATGAGTGTTCACACGAAAGGGAAGGGTTTGCTGCCGCCTTGCACACAAGGAAATGTCTCACCCCGAGGGATTTGGTGGAGAAGCCAGAAAATGTGCTTTTATCTGGGAAAAGTGAGCGGCTGCCTCAACCCAGCCCTGCCCGCTCGTTAATCTCCAGGGCTTGGAATCACAGCACAAGGAAGTCTCCTCTCAGCTCCATGCACCAGCCTGGAGCAAGTTGCTCGCTCTGGATCCACCCAAAATATTTACTGAGCACAAAAAGCCCACAAGGTCATCGGGATGAGCCCGTGCCGCCCTGTGCCATCCCAGCTGCGGTGGGTGGGACCCCTGGAGTTGCAGCAGGGAGCTGAGCCCGCCACCACGGGCAGGGATCGTGCCTGTGGGGCACAGGGTGTGTGAGTTGCCAGCCCCGTGCACCATGACAAAGTACATCAGGTGCTATCTTGGCCGGTCCCACTGGATGCCCTCTGGACCCAGAAGCAATTGAAAGAATCATGGAATGTCATCGCACATTACCAGACGCCCAATTGCCTTCAACCCCTGGAAGGACTTGATACAGAGAGCAAAATTGCCTTGATTTTCCAGCCGTTTCTACAGAGCTGCTTCACGATAACGAGAGCTGCCAGTCTGCCCTGGATGAGCCAGCGGCTCTTCAGCCTCTCCCAGCCCCACGGCAGCCGGTGACCCTCACACAGGCTGTGATGGAGCCCAGCGTGCCTTGTCCTCAAGCTGCTCCTAAAATCCCCTTCAGGAATACTTTGTGCATTCAGCGTAAGCTCAAACACAAGCTGTCACTCCCCAGTCAGGATGCCTTCGGGACGGCTTCGAGGGATTTTAGCCAGGAGCGGGCTCCGTGAGGCAGCGCGGCGAGGCATACTCACGATCTCGGGCAGGATGAAGGCGTAGGGGATGGTTTTGAAGACGGCGGGTCCGGAGGGCAGGGCGGGCTGCGCGGAGGCTGCGGAGGGACCCACCGAGGCCATCTCTGCCCCGCCGACAGCGCTCCGCTCCGCTCGGCTCCGCTGGCGCTCGCCTGCCCCGCGCCGCTCCCGTGCGGGATTTAAGGGACACGCCCGCGGGACGTAAGCGCAGGAACCGGCCCGGGCTGGCACCGCGCCGCTGCCCCGGGCCCGGCCCGCCGAGCCCTGGCACCGCCCGAGGCTGCGCCGCTCGGTGCATCCCCCGGCCGGCCGCGATGGGACACACGGGACCCCACCCCGCCGGGCACCAGGGCAAGGTCATCAGCTGGAGAGGGAAGGAAAAAACTTCCTACACCTTGCCGGCACAGAAATGTTTCCCGCGAACAGTTCTCTTGGCACGCTTCCAATCCTGAAATATTTTAGCTTCCAGTGTTGTAGCCTCCTCCCCTTTCTGTTCAGGTTTCTGCTCCGCGGTCACGCCAGACACCTCCACACCCTCCAGGCACATCCAGCCTTCAGAAACTGGCAGGTAAATTTTACAAACACGCCAGGAGGGCTTGGCAATGTGCCCCCGAGTGCCCAGTAAGGTGTGAAGGGGAGCGACAGGAATTTCTGCCTCCTGGCAAATGCAGTTTGGATTCGGGAAGCGCTTGCTGTCTCATCCAGTGCACTCTGCCTGGCCCCAGAACTCCCAGATAAGGGATGGGATGAAAGGCTAGGGGTGGCACTTCTGCCTGGTGGCCCAGAGAGGACAGACTGACCCCATTAACCAGGGTAATGGGCTACAGCAGGAGGAAGACACTGTCCCAGTGAGTTATCCCAGCTCTGCTAGGCGAGACAGGTGATGCCCCAGGAACTTGGCTTCTATGCCAAGCTCTTGCACAACACAGAGCAAAGATCAAATCCATGTCTCTGAGCGCTTCCTAGGCTGGGGGAAGTGTCCTGTGGTATTTCTGGAGGCTCCAGTTTATAGATACTCCAGTGGGAGCTGGTTTTTGGCTCCATGCAGTGGACATTTTCAAAAATCTTGTTTCATATCTTGCCAGACAAAACTGAGCCTGGCCTGGGCTTAAATCCAGGTGTGACTCGGTGGCAATGTCCCCATCACCCTGCAGGAAGCATCCAGATGCTCCAGCACTGAAGAGAAAGTGGATTAATCACTTCCCTATGGGAATGGGCAGCACACAGAGCCTGTGGTCACAAGGTGCTCAGGGGTCAGCAGAGGAAACAATCCTGGGGAAACAGAGCATTGCCAGGATTCCCACCTGCTGCTATTTGTGTTGGGTCAGGCACATTCCTGGGAGGAACCCAGCCTTCTCCTGAGTGGGGGAGAGGAACAGGCAAACAGCCTAAAAACGGGGCAACCTGCTGGTCACTGGTTGGGCAAGAGAGGATTCTTCCCCTAAGCTGGCTGTCCTTGCTCAGCAGCATTCTTAGAGATCTCTGCTCTTTCCTTTCCCTGCTCCCAGGCTGCTGGGGGACTGGGACAAAGAGTCTTTTGTTCACCCTTATTAAAACAACACTGGAAAATAATTGGAAGCTGCATGAGAGGAGGAAAGGGCTACCTCAGCTTTGGCAAAGTATGACACCTGGCATGGCTACATCAGGTAGGGCAACCAGAGCCTTGTTTAATGCTGCAAAGTTAAAAACTTAAAATACAATTTCCAGTAGATAAACAGATAAAATATTTTTAATCTCTTCAAAATCCTAATTGCACTAAAATATCCATTACAATTCAGCTTCTGCACAATCTCTTTGGTAAGAATTTAATTTTATTTTTACCATGTCCTTAGAGAGCTTGATTTTTTCATTCTCCAGGATTGTTTTTCCTCACTTCTCCTAAGAAATCATAGGCCAGCTCTGAGATGTCAAAGGCTCTGTGGGTGTTTTCTGATGACAGCAGGTACTCCAGGGCACCATCTCTCTCCTGGCTCCTCTTCAGGAAGTCATGGATCACCTTCCAGCGAGACAATTCCACCTCCTCCTCAGCCCATCTGTAGCTGGGGAGGGACGTGGAGCAGAGCAGAGGGAACACAGAGTCGTGGTACACCAGGACAAATGCATCCTTCAGGAATTCTTGATCTCTCTGCAGACAAGAGTGGTGAAAATACCTCAGTGCCAACATGTGGTGTTGTCAAGCACTTTCCAAAGTATTGTACATGGGAAAAAACCCCAAACAACTCATTCCCAGTTCCTAGGAAAACAATGGGAAGAGATCTGACCTTCCTAAACATGCATCTGTTTTCCTGGATAAGCCTCCAGCATATCCACAAACCTGAACTCTGCCAGCCTTCCCACAACTACAGGCACTGAGAGCCCCTTGCTGTGGGGTATTTATATTCCTTAAAAGCAGTGCCACATCCTCCCTGCTCTGGAAACCCAAACTCCTCTCATTTCCCTGCTGTCCTAGGTGGAGCATGGCTCTGATCCCGCTCCTTGGAGCCAGAGCTGATGCTGCCCCTGGGCACTGCTGTCCCACTCTTTGTGCACGGTGTGACCTGTGTGCTCCCCTGTGAAGATCAGCTTGGAAACCCCAGAGACGAAGGATCAGCCTGGTCAATTATCAAACCCATGGGAAAGATCCAAGTCCAGAGTGTCCCAGCCCCAGGAGCGCTGTACTTGGCAGGGAGCGTTTCACAGCTCAGCCCCACGGAGCCACACCAGGGGTGAGCACTCAGCAATCCTCCCCTGGGAGTGGCACATGCCAGTCAGGTAGAACTGGATGCTTCTGGGAGTTGCCAATTCCGTGAGCAGATCTGCTCTCCTCTTGGATGAATGGCCCTGACAAAGCTGCTCTGACTCAGCGGGTGTTTGTTCTGCGTAAACGGGGAGCCATCCTTGTGCATCAGTTCAGGAGCATGCACAGGAATGAAATATCCCACTGCTGCTTCCAGGAAATCCAGCACTGAGAGCCAATGGCTTTCTCATTCAGTTCCTGCAGCTGCTCTCTGTCCAGGGGACAGGATGTAGGACAAGGTCTGGGTGAGCCCGGGGACAACCAGGTAAATTCTCCAGCTGTCTTTGTGCCAAAACATGGATTACAACTCTATGAGGTAGGGAGATCTGAGGAATTTAGGGGGCCTTTTCCCAGGCAGATTGTGGGAGGACTGAAGCTCAGAGTTTGGAGGAGGGAAGATGATTTTGTGGGCATACACAGCCCCTTTTTGTATCCATGACTGTTAGAAGCACATCTTGACAGGGCACCACTCTGGCTACCAACCTGTGACAGGTTCCCCCCTAACAACACTGAAATAAAAAGTTACAAGTTAATTTAATTTTCCTCCTGCTCCTGGTTTACTGTTATAAATCTGGGTGAGAAATGTTAAGAACTGCATTTACATAAATCTGTTTTCTAAATAGCTGTATGGTGAGAGGAAAAGCTAAGCAGCAGTTGCACTGGCAGGGAGCAGCTAGATGGAATTACCCTGAATATATGGAAAGAAAAACCTGTGGTTTGTTACCTTCTCAATTCTCTTCAATGTTCTTTCTTTCTCAGCCCAGGCACTCTAAAATGAAATGAAAAATCAGAGCAAGGCTGGAGAACTTTGTCTTCTCCCAGAACAAAAAAAAGGCTCAAATTTAGCCTGGAAATGCTGACAAGGTAACATACCCGAAGTGCATCCATCAGGTCTGGCTGATCCAGGAGTTGAGGGAAAGTTGCTAACACAGGATTACAGATTAAGTCTGAAACAGAAAACAAACACATTCAAGGCTAAGGAAGAATCAGTTTTCAGAGTATTGGCACATGCAGGTATTCAGCACATCCCCTCCTGTCAGGTTATTCCAAAGGGAAAATGAGCTGTGACAGTTCTCCAGGGCAGGGAAGGTAGAACTCCCTAAAAACTGTTCTGACTGCAGCCAATTCTCTGAGTGGCTGAGAGACAGTTAAACCAGGAGAGGGGACACACAAGCCCCAGTGCTGGTTATTGGGAACACCAGCAAACACGAGCCCTTCCTGATTCACCTGCCAGAGGTGTTTTCCCTCATTTCTGCACCTGCCTTTTTTACACACAGCTGCAGTTGTGCTGCTTAGTTTGGATGTTATGGATAAACACACTTGGGTTCTACCTCAGCCTGGTGTGGCATTTTAGGAGAACCAAGGACCAAGTGCACAGTGAATTTTCCCAATGGAGCACAATCCCACAGCACAGGTGTCCTGGTGCTTTTTGGGTCACTTCCATGAGAAATCACTCTGCTCTTGTGATTATTTTAATTAATGAGATTTTGGATAAGATTCCAAGTGACGGAGAGCAGGATTTTGGCTGAAGTGTATTCTTTATCATGTGATTTCAAATATTGAATGTACAATTGTCCCTTCACCTTGAAGCTGATGGTAAGTTTGGTAAACATGAAGCATTTACTAATGCCCAAACATTTCAGGGAAGAGAGCCAGGACTGATGACTTCTGGGAAGGAGAACAGATATTTTCAGTTGTCTATTCCTAAAGTGATGGTGGATTTTGAAATAATAGAAATCTTCTTTAGTTGCACAGCTACCAGAACAACTCCTGGGATAAAGCCTTGCAATGGCTTCACATGGAGTCTGAATCCAAAGGGATGCAGTTTAACTCCAGGAGAGGTCATCAGCCTGATCTACTGTCCTAAATTATTCAGATCAAATCAGGTAAGTGTGGCAGTTCTCACCTATATAAATTCATATGTAGTACAGTTAAAAAATGTAATTTTTCCTTATTTCAAGTTGGTTTTAAAATGGAGAAGGCTATAAACTATCATTAGTTCTGCTGAATAATCAGGGCAAGACACTGAGTTCTAAATCCAGAATTCTCCAACTTCTGTCTCTCCCTACTGTCAGTAAGTAAATAATAATTAAAAACTAAAAATAAAGAGGATAACAGCCTGAGTGCCAAAAACATCTCTCCCCAAAGGGAGACGTGGCAAGAGCCATTCCCTGGTTGAACCTGATCTTCCTGCAGTGCTCACCTGTGCTCTGCATGCTTGTCCTGTCCTTCAGGAGGGCATCTCCAAGGATTTGCCGATAAAACACCAGGAGGTGGATGTAGCACATGCCCCCAACTAATGTTTCAGGGAGAAAACTGTTGGGAAAATAAGGGACAGCAGCTGAGGTGTTCACTGCAAACACTGCAGATTTCTCTGGGCTGTCTGGAATACTTTTTCATTTTATGTAAGCACGAGGACTCACTTCAGGATGTCTTTCGAGTGCACACTCGGTGACTTCACCTTCACCAGAAGCACAGGCTGCTTCCTGAGGCTCATGAACTGCTGAAAAACCCCGGAGCCTGCTGCAGGAAGAGACAGCCCAGGTTCACACAGTCAGTTTGAAACAATTATATTACAAACATGGGCATTTCTGTGGGTTGAGAACTCTCTCGAGTTTAGTCAGCCTAGTAGCACTCAGCTCCCACAGCCAAGGCAAAAGCAGATAAATAATGAAATGCATGCAAAAACAGAAGACACAAACCCAAACCAGGCTGTGGGGACTGTTGTGAAGGAGATGCAGCAACAATCACATTATTATGTTTATATTATATTGAAAAGAAGCCAGACCTCTCCTCGATATTGATGGGTCAACCTCAACACCTCTCTCATAGGGAGTTCCACCACTCAGGACCAGCTCATGCATCCTGCCAATAAAGATTCATTTGAAGCCTGTATGATATTGGGGATTCAACTATTTTTGGAATTTAATTGTACTGGGAGGTCAATTATTTTAAAAGCCATTAACAACATTGTTTCTTTTCCACAGCCCAAATATTTTTCTTGCATGGAATTTAGCAATTGTTTCACTACAATGGTTTTGAGGAATCACCACTTCAACAATTAAAATCTTTCAGATTTGAAATTTGTTAAAGAATAATGTAACCCCAGTTCTGCCAAGAGTAAGTCACTGCTGAAACAAGCATGAAACTGAATCTGTAATACTGTCTTACTTAATGAAATAATAGAACAATATTTAAAATATGAGACTTAGAAGAGATTTAGAGAGTTCTAGAACAGTAGAGGTGTCCTGTGGGTATTTTTTTGAGCTGTAACCCAGATAAATTCAGAATACATATACACTATATATAATATATATATATATACGTGTCTACCAATATTTGGCAAAAAAAAAAGTCTTGAAAGTCTTGAAAGTCTGAGCTACAATGAATTATTTCTGTCAATAAACAGAAAGTTTTCCTATATTTAATAAAATAAAAATATACACACTTCATTATTCTTTCAGATGACTGGACCCACTAATCATAAATCATAATTCCAAGAGCAGTGAGAGATTCATTCACAATAACTTCCATGTCTTGGGAACCAGTCTCCCAATTTTCCCCTGGGAAAGGGATAATGCAGCAAAGAAGAGCCAGAATCCCAAAGGACTGGGCTGGATGCCCCCTGCCCCAGCAGTGTGTAAGTATGAAAGATGAGTTTTACTCTCAGTCTAAACCAGATGTATAAATTACATCTGTGTGTAAATACAGGGAGAGCAGGAAAAGGCAACAAACTCACTTGGAAGGAATAGGAATCCCACTGGAAGTGAAAAGCTTCAGAAAGGCCCAGCCACAGCTCAGCTCTCCTCTTTCACCTGTTGACTAGGAAAAAAAAGAGAAATGTAAATTATTTGAGCAGCTGACCCAGAATGAGTGACTGAACCACAATTAATTACAGTAACCACATGAAAATTGTTGTAGTTATCCCCTTTTCCTCTTTCACCCTTGTGTGTTCAAAAATCACAGTCTGACTTTTCTGAGGTTGTTTTTCTGGCTTTACCATCTATTATCTTACTACCTGTTGTGCTTTCCAGCAGCATATCCCAGATGGACAGGCTCTATCTGTGTAAACTGGAGCTGGAGACCACTGTCCATGCTGCTGAAACAGTTAAAACTTTGGTTTTCCAACTGTACAAGACATTAGTCTGAAATAAATCACAGAGATGGAAAACTGAGGGAGTAAAGGGAGAACTCATCCATTGTGATCCCATGGCATGGGATCTTTGGCATAAATTATTTCAGTGTTGGTACAGGGACACTCATGGCCGTGAGCCAGAGGGATTTTTATTCTCTAATTAGGGATATTCTCCCATCAGAGAATCCCAGAATACTTTGGGTTGGAAGGGATTTTAAGGATCATCTTGTTCCACCCCCTGCCATGGACAGGGGCATCTTCCACCATCCCAGGTTGCTCCAAGCCCTGTCCAGCCTGGCCTTGCACACTGCCAGGGATCCAGGGGCAGCCACAGCTTCTCTGGGCAACTGTGCCAGGGCCTGCCCACCCTCACAGGGAAGAATTCCTTCCCAATATCCCATCTATCCCTGCCTTCTGATAGTGGGAAATCATCCCCCTTGTCCTATCACACCATGAGCTTGTGAAAAGTCTCTGTCCATCTTTCCTGTAGGCTCCTTCCAGGTAATCCTATTCTCCAATCCTGTTCTCTAATGAGGGATATTCTCTGACTGGGACCAGCTGCTTCCCTTTATAAACCTTCCCTTGGAGGGATTTCCACTGCACCTCCCCACACTCACATTGCACTTGTACGTGATGCCAAGCTCAAACAAGATCCCAATGTCTGCAGACAGGGAGTTGGACCTGACAAAACAGTCACCATCAAGCAAGCTGGGTAAGATACCCATCACCTGGTACAGAGAGAGGGAGGAGAAAAAAAAAAAAGTTTATATACTTATAAAAAAAAAATTTTGATTTTTAAAGGCCATCAAGCACATCCCTCACTCAACACAAGATTTTAGACCCAATCCATATAAAAATGAGGAGAGAACAAATTCCAGTCAAAACCTTGCTCCCCTTACTGTCTTTCCATGGAGCACAGCTGTGCCACCAAGGAACACTTTAGTGACACTGAAGGAAGAAGCTGTAAACAGCCAGGGGCTGTGTCACCTACCCTTGGAGAAAAGGTCCAAGTTTGAGGATTTTTAGGCAGCCACGTGGCTCTCACTGTGTGAATGTTACTCAGCACCTAAAGTGGGGAAAAAAGCAAAGGTCAGTTTTTCTGGAAAGCCCTTTCAGAAAGTGCAGGGTTATCCCAGATGGATCCAACACTGCACACAATCAAGACAACTGGAAGAAAACTGCTGAATAATCAGGGTTATGTTTTTACAAAAAGCTGCTCTGCACACACCCAAAGGAACAGAGGATCAAGGGCACATGGAGGAACCTGCCCCTGACCCAGCTGCTCCAGGCCCATCTCAGGAGACAGATCAGCCCAGGAAACATCATTGCCAGGAACACAAAGGAGCCAGGAGGCACAATGGCAGGTGGGGGACCCGAAATTAGGGACTCAGAGAACTGGAGCTCCCACCCTGCCCCTCCCAGGCCAGCCTGCACAGCCCCAGGGGCAGGGTGTGACTGTCACCCTGAGCCAGGAGCAGCTCCCTGCCTCACCTCACTCTGCTCTGGGGCATCCTGGGGCTGCACCTGATTTACCACGAGAGGAAAGCAGAGGGGAGAAACCAAAGGCAGAAAAAGGGAGGGGTCCAAGTGCCTTGTGGAGCACCTTGGGTGGGAAGCTTGGCTTGCCTGGCCATGCCCAATGCCCATCAATGCAGTCTGGCCTGTTTTATCATTCCATTCCCTTCTTCTGGGCGAGTGGGCTCAAACCAGACTCATCTGAGCATAAATTAAGCAGCTTGGGAGGTGTGTGTGTCTCTGAGACAGAGAGGAAGCAGACCCTGAAGGATGCTGGAAGCTCCAAACCTCCTGCAGTCCATTTTTGGGAAGCAGACACGTTCCTTACCCGGCTGCCATCGAAGAGGCAGAGCCGGACGTGCCGGCTGAGGACGCGCACGCCGCTCCCAGGGGGAGGGATCATCTTGCAGCTGCACAAAGTGACAATCAGGGACACTCTGGTGGCTCTAGGATGGATCTGAAACACGGCAGAAGGAGGATTAAGCCTACAGTCCCTTCTGCACGTGGTCTCATCTTGTGTTTATGGACTGAGGTTATTCTCCCAAGCTCCAACCCAGTGAGAGGCAGCAGCAGGATTTCTTCACAAGCCTTTAGCTCTGCCTCAGGGATCTTTTAGAGACAGACAGAAGCTCCCAGCAGAAGAAATATTTGCACCAGGAATGGTGCAAATTAAGACATAATCACCAGCCAAAAGGAAAGAAGGCAAATAAAGTTTGTCCCCCTTAGCAGCAATGCTCACAGTATTTCTCTCAGAGTTCCACACCAGGTCTTTGAAAGCCAGCTGGGATGGAGTAAGCTTGGGTTGCAAGTAGTAACTTGCTCGAAATTCTTCACCTACAACAAGAGTAAATTTAAAAACTCTTCATTTTTCAAATTATCTTTATTGTGCCCAAAAGGACAACACCCAAAATTCATGTTCAGTTAAGTGTTTGATTAAACAAAACTATGGAATTATCTGCCATGAGCACTGTCTGCTATTTGTGGGTGTTCTGAAGTATTTAATCTCAAAAGCACAATAATTTCATTTTATAAAGAGATTAAACAGCTTTAGACAGAAAGACTAACAAAACATGAGATATCTTAATGCATTTGGTGAAGAGACTAGAAAAGACCCTTGAGAAAAAGGGAAGATTAAAATAAAATCAAAAAAAATCATAATTTCCTGCAAAGTCAACAGGAACAAACTTCCAAAGAGGAAACTCTTTGAAATCACAAGGAAATTTGTCAGGATTTCACATTGATAAATTGAAATTTAAGGGAAAAAAAAAATCTTTTATACATTATTTGATGGGTCAAACATAGCCAGTTAGCCAATTAATTAAAATTGAGCAGTATGGATTGGGGTCCAATGGCTGGTGACAGGATGAGAAAGCCAGCACAGAGCCCTGAGAATCCTGCCAGGTGAGATCCCGACCTTCCTCCAGGAGCTGGAACAGCATGGATGGGCGAAACCCTGCAGGAACTGCCCCTGTGGTGGTCAGCACCTCCACTGTGTCATTCTAGCAAAAACAAAGCAAAAAAGAAATTACTGGTCCTGATGTTTACCAGCAAAATTCATCCTAAATTACAGCTCTGTTTAGAACCAGAAACTTGGGCTATCAGTCACCTCTTCTGAAGCATTTCTGTGGCATTTCTTGCTACCAAAAACTCCCAAAACACAGATGTTAATTAGGAACAACGGTCTTTGATATGAGGCACAGTGTTTGGGAAAGGCACAGCTTTTCTACAAAATAATGAAAATTATGGCAGGTGAAGCTGCCCTGTAAGAGGGGCACCCACCTCTACAATGGCTCGGACAGCACTCCAGTGGGAATCTGTTCTGGAAGAAAACAGAGGGATTTATAGTAAATCCTCACATGAACAAAAATTTAGCCACTTAATATTGCTGTGTTTCCAAACAGCAGCAGCTTCAAAACCGTATCTGAGGCATTCCATTTACCTTTTTTTAATTTCAGCTCCATCTGCTGTTTCATCCATCACTTCTATGTGTTCTGACTCCTCCTGGCTTTCTTCCTCTTCCTTAGGAACCTGGAATTCACATTTAAATGGCAAAAGGCTTGAATTCTGTTCTTAAAAATGCCTTCTCCAACTACAGCCCGTATTAATGCCAGTTTAGAATGAATTAAGTAAGTTTAGAAAAGGAGATTTTCGCCCTGTGATGAAGAAAATTTTCCCACATTTACATGGACTCCCATTTCAGATAAATTATTAAAACCCCAAATCAAGCCACAGCAGCTTGGAGTCTTCAGATTTGACCTTTAAGCGCCAAAGATTCTGACTTTGATATTCAAGAAACTTCTCTGCCACAACTTCCCAAGGCACAGAAATGCTGCTTTTGATATCTCCAGCCCCATGGACAAAACCATGGAGCAATTTCCAAATACCTGGCTTTATTTCCAAACAACACATGGCACTGTGACCAGATCATTGATTACAGATCATTAATCTATATAAAAGAGCAGAGATGAGGGCAGAGGTTGCAGCACACCCACCGCAAGGTAGGTCCTGGGAACGAGGCCTCTCTCCCCCTTGGAATTTTCAGCTACCCACCAGCCATCCTCCTTCTTGTCATGTATGAGCAGGGTTTCACCTTTCTTTGGCATTGGAAAAAGAGACAAAGACAAAAAAACAGGCAAATATTTAAATGAAAAAGGACCTAACTCCAGTTTTCCCCCAAATCCCACAAGTGGCTGAATCCCAAAAGCACAGGATTTCATTATGGTTACTGCTTAACTCAGAGTGATCTGCAGTGTAAAAACCCTTTGCAGAGAGATATTTACCACAAATGTGAGATCCCCTTCCTGCTGGGCATCAAAGTTCCCAACAGCAACACATTCTCTAACATTTGGATCATCCAACAACTTCTCTTCATCATCTTCTTCTTCAGTGTCTTCCTCCTCACTTTCTTCATCTTCACTCTCCTCCTCTTCTTCATTTCCCTCTTCTGCATGAGAGCCTTTCTGGTGTTCCTCACCCCTACCCAAAACAAATCAAACTATTTTTTTAGTATCATTCCCACCAAACTTTCTGAAATGTTGTCAAGCCTCTGCAAGGACATTATTCAGATACAGCATCTTCATTTCTCTGTTTTGCTCTCTGTCCTGAAGAAACTCCTCCAAACCTTATATTCCAGCCATGGAATATCCAGCACCCCGAGAAAATCCTAGCAAGCCATAAATGACTTCTCTCCTGAGCACTTCTACTTTTATCTTTCTGTTATTTTTCAGCTAATTAAAGGGGTGATATAATGTTTTTTCAAGGTCCATTCCAGCCATAATTTAAAAAACCAGTTGCATTTGCATGTTTAAGCTACTCACCCTGGATAATTTCTTGTCACATTATCCTGATCCAAGACAAGAAGGAGTTTCTGCAGCTGCTGGGAGAGTCTCAGCAACAGCTTTTCTTCCTCTTCCTTCCTCTGGCTGTAATTCCCCACCGGCGCAGGCTCGTCAGCCTGGCGGAGAACCCAACAAATGCCCCAAACAATCAAAGTTCCCCAATAAATTGCTCAAAGAATCAAAGTCCCTCTATAAATTAAGTTTTGCAGACATGCATTACAAGTTTTCCCCTTCCTGGGCTGCTGTCACACCCTCTTTAGTGACAATTTTCTTAGACTTTCACTCTGCCAAGGTGAAATTCTCTGTTAAGTTTTCACCTGGGACTTGGACAAAATAAAGCACTAAAGTGAGTTTTTAAATTATATAAATGGATATAAAAATATAATTTGGAGAGATGACAGGCAGGGATTGTGCAGTGCTGGGCACTGCTCTTGTGAGGGATCTAAAATGGAACATTGATTTTTTTAAAATGCTTTCCATGGTGAATTTTGGAGGAAACCACAAATTAATCTCCATACTTACTTTTTTCAAAGCATGGAGAGCCTTTGTATTCTCCTCCACCAATTCCTTCAGCTCTGTACATCTGCATTGAGAGCAAGACAGGCAGATGGTATTTTCTTAAAATTCTGACCCAAACCACACATGCTGGCTGAAAGGTGTCATTTTAGGTGCTGTGTGTCTCTTCAGGCTGAGAAATTCAAGCCCAAACAGCAGCATTTGCCAGAATCCCAGAATAGCTGGGACTGGGATGGACCTCTGGAGCTCATCCAGTCCAACCCCACTTGCTCAGGGGGCAGGATCACCCAGAGCAGGTGACACAGGGATGCATCCAGCTGGGTTTGGGATCTCTCCAGACAGGGGAGGGAGACTCCACACCCTCCCTGGGCAGCTCTTGGAATTCTCTGCCACCCTCGTGTTGGATTTGTGTTTAAATTTATGGTCATTGCTCCTCATCGTGTTGCTGGGAACACCGGAAAGAGCCTGGCACCAACACCTTGGAAATATTTATATGGATTGGTGAGGTCCCATCTCAGCCTTCCCTTCTCCAGACTGTCCTCAGCCCCAGAGGGCTGGGAAAGAACCAGCCTGGTCAACAGGAGCGGGAAGGGCAAGGAGAAAACTGTACGATTAGGAGAGAAAAGGCGTGGAGGGAGCGAACACTGCTGAGGGTACCTGAGGGGACGGTGAGGGCAGTGCCGGGGCGCTGGGATCGAGGGATGGGGGGCGGGATGGG